AGTGCCCTGTCCTCCTAAAGGCAGAATAACCCAGATGTCCGATTTCAACTGTACCTGTGTCCCTCAATGGATGATAAATACAGTTAAGCTCATCTCAGAGAAAAGACTTTCTTCCTAAGACAACAGCAAAAAACTGAGGTCTGTTGGGAGTGCAAGGGGTTATAACTAGATGGTCACTTTTCTTGTTTGTTTCCTGGTGCACAAATCCTCCTGTAGGCAGCAGTATAACCAATTGATTCTAAATTCTGTGTTCCTCAATGAACAAGAAAAAGAAAAAGTGTATGTCCTAAAAAGGTTGGCCCAGATTTGCAACAAGAAACCTTCCTGAGCTGAGGCAAGACAGTATTGCGTCCCTTCAGTGAGATTCTTCATCTCATCCAGTGCTGCATGAAAAAATCAATCTCCCTGTGAGTGCGATGTCCCTAAAATCTTTCTTGGACATTTGTTCACCAACCAACACTACACCCATGGCAACCTGTGGAGGAGCACAGCCAAAGCCAACAGCTTGCAAAACAAAAGGATCAGGAATCCATAACTTTAAGGAACTCAGATTGCAACAGGACAATTTGGGCAGCTATATGGCATATGAGCTTTAATCTCGATAAATGTAAAGTCATGCACTTAGGAGCTAAGATCATGCATGCTGAAAACACCTTAGGTGAGGTTTCACTGGGGAAAATGGAGAAGGATCTTGGGGTCCTTACAGACAGGGCTGCCATCAGGGGGGGTACGGTCGATACCCATGGCCATTGGCTGTACCAGGGGCAGAGCTAACAGGAGAGGCCAAGCCCCAGCAGCGCCGGTCTGACGGCAGCCGAGTCCCAGCAGCGCTGGAGAAGGCCGGACAGCAGCAGGTAAGAGGAGTCGGGAGGAGGTGCAGGGAAAGAAACGCAGACTAGCCCCATCTGAGACCCTGCAGAGCACACCATGGTCTCAGATGGGCTGTGCAGGATCTATGGTGGACTCTGCGGGGTCACTCAGGTGGGTCTAGTGTTACCAAGTCCAGCACACTACAAAGTCCAATTCATATACTGTCCTGCATTGCTGTATAATGTATTGCTGGGATTTGTAGTCCCCCGACAGCCGGTGCCATCCTGCATTAGAGTAAGCTCCTCTGTACAAAAACTAATGTGACTGGCTCAGTGTTCTCTGTACAGCACTTGTGTATATGTCAGATCTGAATGTTTAATAGTGTGTGACTGTAAGCTCCTCTGGAGCAGAGACCACCGGGGGGGAAAGGGATGTTGTGAGATCTCGCTCCCGCTCTCTTGCACCAGGGTCCTTTGTTCTCTAGGTCCACCACTGTTTTTGCTGTTGGTAATAAGTGCAGTACAGCACTTGGTTGGCAGAGCTTGGTCTGTAGCAGGCTTCACCAAAGTGATCAGGGAGTGAAGCAGAGTCGCACAAGTGGTAAGGTAAGTGTTTTAGCAGCCCTGACAATGGGGGTGGGGAGAGCCCACACACATCCCGCAGTCCACCAGAGAGCCCGCACACACAGACTGCACAGTGCCCAGTCAACCTGAGAGCTGGCACAGCCTACCTGGGAGCCCGTACAGCCGGTTTTTTCCCCCTAAATGTGCTAGTGGATAGATGAGGTGCAGTTAATGTTCGTGAAAAGGGAGTGCGGTTGCCCAAAAATGTTCTGGCCAAAATACATTTCCTTACTATTAAATATTGAATGCACTGATGACTGAATACACTTTTCAATTTTATATATTAAGTTCAAAGAGTGTCAAAATAAAAGTGGGTGCACTGAAGGACCCGGTGGGGGCCAGACCTAAAGCTGTGTAAGGGGCCCCAGCTTATAGACCACAGACTCAGTAATGGCATGCAGTGCCAAGCTGCAGATAATAAAGCTAGTAGTATATTATCTTGCATCAAAAGAGACTTATTCACAGGATAGAAATATAAATTTGCCCCTTTACAAAACACTGGTAAAGCCCTAACTGGAGTACGCGGTGCACCTCTGGTCACCAATCCTTAGGCGGGATGTCCATGAGCTAGAAAAAGTTCAGAGAAGAGCAACCAAACTAATAAAAGGGGATGGAGGGTCTAAGTCATCAAGAACGCCTACAAAAATTAGGCTTGTTCTCCTTCGAGAAGAGGCAACATAATGGCAGTTTACAAACTCAGCAGGGGGACTGTGGCATTGGAAAAGCACTACTTAAACTAAGTACGCTGGGACACAAGAATTTGGTGGGGAGGAGGCATAATCGTAAAATGCGTAAAGGGTATTTTATTTTGAGAGTGGTAAAGATGTGGAATTCATTTTGACAGATAGCTGTATCAGCGGGAAACAAACTGCTTCAAAAACACTTAGATGAGTTCCTTAGTTAAGAAAACATACAGGGTTATTGAAATTGTAAGAAACACACACACGGTTGAACCTGATGGACCTATGTCTTTATTCAACCTCACCTACTATAACTATATTAACTGGTCTGTCACCCAGCAAGCAAAGTAACATCAAAGGGAACTAGAATTTTTAAAGAGGAAAATGTAATTTACAAATTCCTGAAATCAAGGCTAATAAGTTATTCCACTGTTTGTGTGTGAATGTTTTTGTCAGAGCTCACATGCACCTTTCTTAAAAAAAGAAACCATTTTAGGCACAACAAAATTACTAATAAAGCAAAACTAAAATATTTTTAGCCCAGTAAATATATATATATTAAAAAGCAACTTACACAAAATGGTTGGAAATATATATTTGTTGCAGTTTAATACCCATTTGTTCTAAAGAAACAGCTGTTTGTCAGCAACCCTTTAGTAGCAATTAACCCATAGGGGGTATCTCATCAAAAATGAAATTCCTATTGCAAGGGATGCCAAAAACTGGACTTTGGCTGACTAATTATTCCACAGGTCTACCACTAAGACAAATCACAGAAGTAGGAAGTGACATTTCTGGGGGAGTTCTGTAGACCAACTGTGTACAGAACGCCTCCAGGTTGTCATATTGCATTGTTTTTTTTACTGATTCAGAACATTACAGCGGCTAGTTTTAAATGGAAAGGTAATTTTTAACATTAAAAAAATGAAAATTCTTAAATATAGCATATATAATTATTGCACAAGCCATTTTGTCATTTAAAATGGAGTTACCCTCCAGTTGAAGTTTTATTCCACACATCTGGATCAAGCCACTTGAATTTAGGAAGATCTGGTGAGATTTTGTTTAGAAAGTAAAATAAAACATTTGCATTTTCACCAAAGTATTTAAATTGTGCATCCTTTCCCTGTACAAGATACTAATTTGTTCTTAAGTTTTAGATAAAGTTAGAACCTCTGCTGTGCTTAATTGCTGTGTCCACATAGGAAGCAACACCAGGAAAAGACAGAAAAAGGGGTCGCTATGACAGGGAGAAAGATAGCACTAACTATTACAGGTTATTCTGTATCTGGCTAAATTAAGAGACACATCCCATAAATTCCTGTCCCTATGACTTTTTGTTACCAGGGCAGACACCAATAAAATCCCTTTCCAAAACAAAAAAAGAAAAAATAAATAATATTCACAATGTAAAAGAATGAGACGGGGTAAAAAAAAAAAAAGTTATGAATGTAAGTTAGCAAATAAAATTATGAAAAGGCCATCACGACACAAAGTAAACCTACATTAATTTATTAGCTATACAGTGGTACATTCGCATTTCAGAAATACTACTTTTTGCCGATAAATGTTGGCCTCTTAATAGAATCAAAATATCACACAAGACAGCAAGTACAAAAGGCTTTAAACAATCCAAAGATCTAAGCTTATAGTTCTTGGTAGGCAGTAAATCAGGGGGTGGGTGGTAAGGGGTTTCCCACTGTGAAAAGCAAAGTTAAAAAAACAAAACCCTTCATATGCTTGTCAGTGTTCACAAGTGAGGAATACCTTCTAATCAGCTGTTTGGATCAGAAAAAAAGCAAAACTGCCACAAGGGTGCTAACAATGCTTTATCTTTTTTTAGCACAATAAAGATCTGGTTCACAAATCTGCTCCAAATATGAGTGCTTTTTTTCCTATTACAAACAGCTAATCAGCAGCAGCTCCAAGTGGGAAGATTACCACTGGTCAGCATCAGCAGGTGGCTCACTATCTATTCAGAGTGGGTAACTCCTAACTACAGGAAAAATGTAGTCATGATAGAATATGTACATTTTCATCGGCAGCACAAATCATGTGCATCAAAATAAAATAAAAAATAAAATAATTAGGAGGTAAAAAAAATTAGATTACATTATTGTAACTATGGCCAAGTGAAACTTGAACTCTTTGCAACTGATACATTAGGAAAGAAAGCTAATGATGATTTGAAAATGTGCTGATAAATTTAATGTGTTTTTAACTTATGCATTCACCAATAAAAATGTAATCCCCCAAGTTGGTAATTAAAATAAACTTGCTTGCTACATCTTTCCACAATTATGCTGTTTGATAGAAAAAGCTTACCTTTTAAAAATAAAAAGTTATTTACAGTCGGATCTTGCACAGCATGGCAAAATAAACTTTAAAGTGTGTGTGTGTGTGTGTGTGTCTGCTGAAAAAGGTATATAGGTGTGTGTATACATTAAAATATTTGCACACAAACACTCCTTTTCCATCTTTTGTTTTTGTAGGGGAACAGTGAGGGCAATGTTTTACTACAAACTAACTTGCATGGGAAAAGTTTCAGTACAAATCAATGTTTTCTAATACAATGACAATTTTACAATTTAAGCAAAGTAGTAGGCAACTTGTATAACTTAATTGAAGTCTATGTGCCTAAAGCTTATAGTTTACCATTTAAAATAGAAAAGATTGGCTAAAATGTTTATGTGCAGCCTTCAAAAGGTGGAGGGGGCTTTACATGTCACTGCTGAGCTGTAATAGACAACAGTGACTTAGGAGGGGAGTCCTTTGTAGCTTAGTGATTTTTCAAACAACCCACAAAATGTCCATGGTTTCCTTTTTTTGGTCACTCAATGAGTGTGCCCCCACCACCACTCTATAGGCATGGTAAAAGAATTTTTAAAATTAAGATGAAGCAACAAAAATGGAAAAATAATCCCCATAAAATAGAAACGACACATTTAAACACAGCCCTGATCGGTTTAAATCAGAATAGCTGTGAAACTATCCATTATCACCGATCCATCATGCTCAAAATCATTTCTGGAGTAAGGTCGCCGTTTGGAGCTTCTACTGTGGGAGGAGGTGGAGGACCCTCTATCACACCAACTGCCTCCATATCAGACTCCTTTTTCACTTGAACTATGATGTTTTCGATATCCCCTGTTGATTGATCCTCCACTTCAATTGTGTGTCTAAAACCAAAACTTTTGTTGCATCAGAATAGGAAAGGTTTGAAACGATCAGGTTTTTGCAGTCAAAACAATAAAACATCCGGCTGCACTCTATGTTGCTGGAAACTTCATTTAAAAAAAAAAACCACACTGCTGCAAAGTCCCGAACCTCTAATTAGTTTCACCCAATCCTGGGCTTAATCGTAGAGTTAACTACAATTAAGCCCAAGATTGGGTGAAACTAATTAGAGGGGAGTACCTAAAGCGTGACTGTGTAGCGGTGTGATTTTTAATAAAAGAAGTTTCAAGCGACAAATGGAGTGCGGTCAGAAGTTTTTTTTTTTTTACAGCAGCTAAAGTGGGCGTTAGGATGAGCTCCAGCAGGTGAGCACCTGCATGGCCACTGCTTGTGTGCTATGGAGAAGCGGTGCAATCTTTTGAGTGTTTTAATCATCAGGTTTTTATTACGGACTGTGAACCCTGATTGGGATGCTGGGATTCACCCTCTTGATTTGTCCAGGTGACCACTGTCATAAGAAAAGAAAATTGTTGACAATTCCAAAATTTTCACTTGTCACACGAACAACAATATAAAGAGAAACCTGCCAATGGCGGTATCTTTTTGTGACAACTGTCTAAAAAAGGATTTCCCTTAATTTGGAGAGATGTCCTTTTCTTGTTGTGGCTAAATGACAGAAGTAAAAGGAAATATCCTCAGTGGGACAACAGACAGCAAAAAAAAAAAAAAAAAAAAAAAAACACACAAAAAAACTGAAACCAGGGACTTAAAGTACTTCCTACTCTGCAAAATGAAACAAAATGGCAGTTATACTTTAACCTAAACCGGCATGATAACCAATGTAGTTTCACATTTTAACAAAAACAATCCCACCACTTTTCCTCACGGATTTATGTAACAGACTTCAGATGTTGGCTTGACCCTCTGCACAATTCTTGCATGGAGGTTCCAAACACCAATGTAAACCCTGCAAAGGCTTGGTGCAAAAGTTTACAATGTACATCCGAGATGTAAAGTATCACTAATTAAAAGGAAGAACTTACTTTGTTTGTGTTGACTTGCTTTTCCAGGTGGTCTTCCTCTACGTTTTTTTGCAGGTGGAGGCATTGGAGTAAGTGAATGCTCTGCTTCATGTTCACCTTCTATTTCAACTGGCAGCTCCTCCTCTTCCTCATCGTCTTCCTCCTCATCATCAAGGTCCGGATCAGCATTGTCTTCTATATATATATATATATATATAAAAAATATTAGCGGTTAACATTGTTACCCAGGTTTCTTCAACTTTGTCCTGTCAAATAACTTTATAATATACTAAACTGTAACCTTTAAACAGATATGGGGTTCAAGACTAGCAAGCCTTTTGCTGGCTTAAGCAGAACATCCGAGATTTAACCCACACCAGAGGCTTTAAATTGGAGAGGTACTGCAGTCTCATGATACAGTGGCAACTGAATCCTTCATGTCCATGACACCATAGACAAGTTCGCAGTGTGTGGAGGCATTTGGCGGTTTGTGAGTACTAAGTGCAATGCGCTGGGCTCCTTGCCTTCAAACGTATGTACACATTAGCAAAGCGAAGTCTGTATAACGAGATGCGTATTATACCTCTATTGCGGACTGCACTATCCCTTTTGGATACATATCTGCTTTTATAAGACAACATAATCTGCCTTGTCTGTATACTGGTACCGTATATAGATAACCGCATTAGCAATGTCTCTTCAGATAGTCTCAGACCTGTAAGAACAAGTAGAATGATCTTACTAGATACTGGTCACTCTGAGCAGTATTGAATAGGGTACATGCTGATGAAGATGGGGGATGGGCAACCACATGGCCGGTCGGGACAATGGACATGACTCATCCTTCCTTGTTACAGGGATGAGGTGTGTGCATTTCACTGTTCAGCCATCTTGGTGTAGTCCCCTTCCCTTTTGATGTGTACCTGCAGTTGTTGGGCTAACTGGCTAATGTTGTAAAGCCGTCTCCCACAGGGCGTCATCCTTTGACCTTAATAAATGAAGGAGCTGGTGGTCGGTTCTGCCATTTTTTACACTGACTCCAGCTTGAACCAGCATCGTGCCTGACTCTCTCTGGTGCTAAAGTACTTCACCCCTTATACAGAAAGAACTGAATGCAGCGTGCTTTTAAGCGCAGCGGATTAATATGCGCAGGCAGTGTATATAAAATATCCAAATCAGGCACTTCTACTCACTCTGATGGCAACACCCTTGGATCTCATATTCTCTCACCTCTGCATACCTTCCAATCTCACCAACACCCCTTTTACACTCTATGATCACAACCTCATCAGATTCACACTGCCTCTCATCCACCCCCCACCATACCAACCAGCAAACCGCCACCTGTAGGAACCTTTGCCACTTTACCTCTCTCTTCTTTACTCTGCAACAGACTACCTTTATGACTAAATCACAACCCTTTCCTGCCCTGACCTTGCCACTTCTCGCTACAATAACTCAGTCTCATCCTGTATGGACACTTGCCCCTCTCACCACTTACACACTCCGGCCCCATCCACTACATCCTTGGCAGACAGATGACACTAGTAGACTCAAGACATAGCCGTGCACTCCCGTTGCGTGTAAATCCAAATACCTGCAAGATTTCACCCTATATAAATCTGCCCTCCAAAAATACAGTACCTGCCTCCACACAGCCAAACAGACCTACTTTAGCACACATTAACACCCTCTCATCTAGTCCTCGTCAGCTATTTTCGTATTTTAACTCCCTACTTCACCCCCCACCGCCTCCTCCTACCAACTCACTGACTGCCCAGGAAATTGCCAATCACTTCAGAGAAAAGATTGATGCAATTCACAATAAGATCCCCACTGTCCATACCTCTCCCACTCCAAAACACACCAGGTCTGCCACCACACTCGCTACTCTCTTCATTCGATCCAGTTACCACCGACAAAGTCACTACTCTTTTGTCTAGCACACAACTAAACACCTGCCCCCTGGACCTCATCTTCTAACAACTACTCCAGTCACCCTCTTGCTCTTTCTTACACTCTCCTACTCACATCTTCAATCTCTCCCTTTCTAATGGTGTCGTCCCTACCCCTCTAAAACAAGCACTGGTGACCCCCATATTAGAAAAAAAAAAGCCCACCACTCTGAACAACTTGAGACCCATCTCCCTGCTCCCATTTACCTTCAAACCTCTTGAACGGCTGGTCTACAATCGTCCGAGCAGCCACCTTGCCGTTAATCTCCTTGACCTGTTTCAATCTGGCTTTCGTCCGCAACACTACACAGAAACTGCCCTTCTAAAACTTACTAACGATCTACTAACTGCTAAAACCAATGGCCACTACTCTATACTCATACTTGGATACTTGCAGACCTTTCTGCTGCCTTTGACACAGTTGAACACCTGCTTCTTAATAAACTCCAATCCCTTGGCCTGCAACACTCTGCTTTCTCGTGGTTCACCTCCAACGCATCTAAGCGTCAGTGTCGCCTACAATTCTACACCTACCTCTTCCTTTCCATGGGGGTCCCTCAAGGGCGTGTCCTTTGGGCCCCTTCTATTCTCTATCTGCACTTCTTCCCTGGGTCAATTGCCTCCCATGGCTTCCAATACCATACTTTATGCTGACGACACCCAAATCTATCGCTCCACTCCTCAGTTCACCCCCTCTGTCTGACATCTCAGCATGGATGTCACACCACTACCTCAAACTCAATCGGTCAAAAACTGAGCTTATAATATTTGCACTTCTCCGTGTTCCCTCCCCCAACTACCCATCACAATCAACAGCACTACGGTCAACCCCTCCCATCAAGCCAGGGTACTCTGTGTAATCCTCGACCGTGAGCTCTCCTTTCAGCCCCACATCCAATCACTATTGAAATCTTGACGACTCAACCTCCGTAACACTTCAAAAATACGCCCCTTTTGAACAAACGAAAGCACAAAGCTTCTAATTCACTCACTTAGAATCTCTCACCTCGACTACAACAAACCCTCTACCTCCACCTTACCAACCATTTAGTGTCTGCCGCCCCTCTCTGCCAATCCCTCCACTGGCTCCCAATTGCCCAATGAATAAAATAAAAAATACAACATACAAAGCCATCTAAAACTCCGCCCCAACCCACATCACTTAATCTCAAAATATCATCCAAACAGTCCTCTCAAGACTTCCTGCTCTCCAATTACCTCCTCCCATGCTTGCCTCCAGGACTTCTCCAGAGTGTCCCCATCCTCTGGAACTCCTTACCCCAATCTGTCCGCCTATCTCCTACGCCGTCCACCTTTAGGCGATCCTTAAAAACCCATCTCTTCATGAAAGCCCATCTCATCTCAACATAACTGCCCTTTTACTTCTTCCAATAACTCAATCTGAACAATTAACACCTTTTGTATCACTTGTCCTCCCTACTAGATTGTAAGCTCTCACGAGCAGGGCCCTCCTAACCCTATTGTACTGTGTTGTAAATTGTATTGTAACTGTCCTGTCTTCTCCATATTGTAAAGCACTGCGCAAATTGTTGGCGCTATATAAATCCTGTATAATAATAGCTACAAGTGTAAACAACATTACAATGCATAAACAGATGTGTTTCAAAACCATGGTTTGACTCTTACCACTATCAGTTGAACCTTCTTTCTTGGAACGCATTTTTCTTTTTCTTCCACGTTTTCCTTTTTTGTGTATCACCTCCCCATCTCCTCCATTTTCACCTTCTGTACCATCAGGACCAGTGCAATTATCAGCATGTCTTGACATTGTATTCTAAAAAGAAAAATCGTAAACTGCTGAAGAAAAATTCTTAACCAAAGTTGATCACAAGTGAGAGAATTTGGGTGTAAAAAACAAAACATAAATAAAATGTATACACACACACACACACACACACACACACACACAGAGAACTACCAGGGTTGCAGATGGGACCTGGCACTCCACCACTGTCCTGAAATCATCAGTCTGTATTGTTTGAGAAAAACAGTCACATGACAATAAACAAAAATGTATAAGTACTCGTATGTGAGTACTTGGACAAGTATCAGTACTTGTAAAAATGGTATCAGTGCATCCCTTCTATACATTTATAAATAAAAATAAAACATTTAAAACAGGGATGCACAAATCCCAGGAGCTCCGTATGCTCCTTAAAAATGACAGCCAACAATGAACAGATGGATAAGTCACTCACACTCCAATATAGCTTCCAGTCAATCAGTTTCACGTTCTATTTGCCGGATGAAGGGACCTCCTTGGTTTTCGAAACGTTGTATGGAAATGCTGCACCAGTCAATAAATAGATTGACTGGAAGCTATATTGGAGTGCGAGTGACTTACCCTCTGTTCATTGTTACCTGTGGAGGCGTCTACTGTCACTGCCGCATCCGCCATGTGTGTGGGGAATTTCTTTCCGGTCAGGAGTGCGATGGGAAGTTTTGGATTTTAAAAATGACAGCCGTCTCCTAACTTTACGAATTTTTCTCCAGTCTAGTCTCGGAGCTGGAAAACTATCTGTACATGTACAGAGTATGATACTTGGTATCTGAGCATCCAATACACACCCAATATATATATTATAGAAGTGTGCGTGTGTGTATGCATATTATATTTCTTCTAACATATATCTCTTCTTCAGGTCAGAAGCAATACCAATCAACACCACAGAGTTTACCACTTAAAGCAAGAGAAAGTTGTTAGTGGGGTGAATATGTGTGTGTATGTATTCTACAGGTGAAACTCGAATAATTAGAATATCGTGCAAAAGTTTATTTCACTAATGCAACTTAAAGAGGTGAAACTAATATACGAGATAGACTCATTACATGCAAAGCAAGATAGTTCAAGCCATGATTTGTCATAATTGTGATGATTATGGCTTACAGCTCATGAAAACCCCAAATCCACAATCTCAGAAAATTAGAATATTGTGAAAAGGTGCAATATTCTAGGCTCAAAGTGTCCCACTCTATTTAGCCAATTAAGCCATAACACTTGCAAATGGTTCCTTAGCCTTTAAATGGTCTCTGTCTGGTTCAGTAGGAATCACAATCATGGGAAAGACTGCTGACCTGCAATTACCTCAAAAGGTAATTGCAAAAGAAGTTGGATGTTCCCAAAGTGCTGTATCAAAGCACATTAATAGAAAGTTATGTGGAAGGGAAAAGTGTGGAAGAAAAAAAAAGGTGCACAAGCAGCAGGGATGGCCGCAGACTGGGGAGGATTGTCAGGAAAAGGCCATTCAAAAGTGTTGGGGACTTTCACAAGGAGTGGACTGAGGATGGAGTCAGTGCATCAAGAGTCACCACACACAGACTGATCCTGTACATGGGCTTCAAATGTCGTATTCCTCGTCAAGCCACTCCTGAAGAACAAACGTTAGAAGCGTCTTACCTGGGCTAAAGAAAAACAGACCTGGCCTGTTGCTCAGTGGTCTCACACAGGAGTACACCCCTCACATTTTTGTTAAAATGTATATCATATAATAAAAATATGTTATTATATCATTTCATGTGAAGACACAGAAGAAATTACACTTTGCTACAATGTAAAGTAGTGAGTGTACAGCTTGCCGTCAGTGTACATTTGCTGTCCCCTCAAAATAACTCATACAGCCATTAATATCTAAACCGCTGGCAACAAAAGTGAGTACACCCCTAAGTGAAAATGTCCAAATTGGGTCCAGTGTCAATATTTTGTGTGGCCACCATTATTTTCCAGCACTGCCTTAACCCTCTTGGGCATGGAGTTCACCAGAGCTTCACAGGTTGCCACTGGAGTCCTCTTCCACTAGAAAAGAACTTGGTTCAAGGTTTAGTTTAAAGGTTCTGGCTTTGTGTCTGTATTGGGAGCCAGGTTATGCCTTGGAGTTGGAAGCCTGGAGGAATCTCTTCACCATTGAGAGACTTACTGCAGGGAACCTTAGGTTTCCGCTTTCTGGTCAAGAGCATGCTCTTTCCACCAGTAATTTTCTTCATGAAGGTGTCCAAGTCTTCTCCAGTGAGACAGTCTTCCGTGAAGGGAATACTCTTAGGGCGCTTCTTAGAAGCTGGTTCCGCTGACAAGTACATCAGCCATAAAAATCTACATATAAGGACTGACAGAAGTCTCAGTCTGGAAAGTTGACAGAAAAATTTCAAATGCAAACAGGAGCGTGGGGTTCGTTGAGATGGAAACAGAATCACAGGCCATGCAGCTCTTAATTTAGTTTTCCATGGTCTGACCCATCTCCACAGAGGCTACTGCCACATGCAGGATAGGCCCAATAAAGCCTTAAAAAGGACATTTCCACCTTTGTAAGTGATGTTGAGTTTTTGGTGGTAACGGGGAGGTGCAGGGGGGATGTACATGTGTGCATTCTCAGGAGTCACAGGGCTGTTTTTCATACTTTATTTTATAGATTCTTTTACAGGCCACAGACCTAGAAATTCAAAAGTCCCTCCACAAGATCTTCAGTCTCTCTCAGAGGGTGGGGTTGTTATCTCTAAACTGCAATCAGCTATGAGTCATAGCTCTGTGTGTGTCTGTGCGAGGAGATATCCTGCACTTGTCCTGTTCTGTAGACTCCTCTCTGTGCTCTGTCTCTCTCGGATCTCTCCCGGGTCACATTTACTCTCTGCTGCCCCAAGTCCAGGTTCCTTAATGTCCCCTATCCCCTCCCCATCACCATTCTTCTCACTTACAGATATGACAGTTAGAACAGATAAAAAAGACATTGGGGGAATTGATCAGAACTGGAGCAAACAGAATCTGGAGCCGTTGCCCATGGCAACCAATCGGCTTCTCTCTTGTTTGCTCAGGTAAGATTTGAAAATGAGAGCGAAAAGCTGATTTGCCATGCAAATCTGCTCAAGATTTTGCTTGCTCCAGTTTCAATTAATCCCCCCCACTGTGTGGTGTCACCGGAGATGTGCAGGGTGAGGAGGATGTGCAGGGCCACCACGGAGTTTGATGTAACCGGGGATGTGCGAGGTCACCGAGGATGTTGCTAAAGAAATCCATTATACTTTGTTCTGAGCGATTACTGGAGACAACATAGAACAGATTTCTTCCTCCAACTGTAGTCACATCTCCCGGTCACTCTGCACTGCCACGGGGGAGGTACCACTGTTCACGAGAGAAGCAAAGCATTGTGGGGAAAGTGGCAGAAAATAATCCACGGTGACCCCGCACATCCCTGATGACACCTAACAATCTCCGGTGACCCCGCACAGTGGGGAGGATCTATTAAAACTGGAGCAGATTTGCACGGCAACCAATCAGCTTCTCTCTCTCATTTTCAAATCTTACCTGAGCAAACTGAAGAGAGAAGCTGATTGGTTGCCATGGGCAACGGCTCCAGATTCGATCAATTCCCCCCAATGTCTTTTTATCTGTTCGGTCATATCTGTAAATGAGAAGAATGGTGGGGGGAGGGGGGACATGGGGGAACCTGGACTTGGGGTAGCAGAGAGTAAATGTGACCCAGGATAAGGGGGAGATCTGAGAGAGACACACACACACACACACACACACACACACACACACACACACAGAGGACAAGTGCAGGAGATTCTTCATCACACACTGACAGGAGATCTCCCTCACACAGACACACACAGAGCTATGACTCATCTCTGCTCTCTCTTCAGAGCAGAGAGGAGGGGGGGGGGATTAGCTGATTGCAGTTTAGAGATAACAACCCTACCCTCAGAGACTGATTGAAGATCTTGGAGGGAATTTTGTATTTCTAGGTCTCTGGCCTGTAAAATAATCTATCAAATAAAGTATGAAAAACAGCCATGTGACTCCTGAGAATGCACACACATGTACACCCCCCCTGCACCTCTACATTACCAAAAACTGAAATCACTTATAAAAAGGTGGAAATGTCCTTTAACAAACCTCAGGGCACTTATCGACCTTGAACTGAAAGGCCAAAACATCCTCAACTGGTAGGGTCAGGGACTTCTTAAGGCATGAAATGGCACAATCGACCTGTGGGACATCTACATTTTAAAGAATGTGTCCTTTAATGGATACTGCAATACAAAATGCTTCGGAAGTGCAAATACTTTCTCAGGATGCTGGCAATCTGTAGAGCACTTCCTCTACCAGGAAGTATCAGGAACGTCTTAGCAGGCTTCTGTTATTAAGGGTACCCATACTGGTGCTCCTAAGACAATCTTCTAGAGGTGGATCAATGGCTAGAAACACACACCTTGGATAATGAACACCAAAAGCGCCCCATAGTTTCTGCAACACAAGCGCTGAAGATATCTCCTCTCTGGTAGCAGTGGAGCTGGGCATCTCTTTACCCCTTGTTCCTTTGTATTTAGTGTTCATCATAGTGAGGGGCCCCAAAGGGCTACTCGCATAGAAAATCTAGAGGTCAATGAGCATTCCCACAATGATCTCAGGTGTCTTCTGGTAGTGATGAGTCAGCCTGCTCCCTGTGTTCCTAGCGTGAGTGGACCCTTAGCTTTATTCACTTTGGATATGCCACTGCCCTAGTATTTTATCCCTGAGGCTAACTCAAAACACTGCACCATCTACCAAGGTGGGCGGCCAACGCAGTATCCAGTGCCCAAAGCGACATTAAAGGCCAGCCCTGTGTCTTCTATCCAGTGAGGCCTGGGTATGGTCCCCAAAGCTATTGATTTACTGAGCGGCTTTACTATCGGAATCACCTCAATTAAATAAAAAGAACAACTGTAAAAAAATGAAAACCTCACAGACAAATCTGTTGTTTGCAAGATTGTGTTGCTGACCACGGCAGCAAAAAGGATTAAATGCTGGACACCTGCACTCAACACCATTCCTCAAGTGCTACACCAGGGGGTCTTTTCAACTGTGTACTACTTCTCTGCTTGCAAAGTGCAGGCCACTTTACTCATAGAAGGAAAGACTATTCCCACACCTAACACAGTAGTCTGTAAACAGTCTAATTCACCACTGCAGCAAGTCTTCAATGCTAGACATGTGATTACAAGTCTGATGATGTTGTTAATACCTGGTGGGACCACTACAGAGACAGACAACCAAGATCACCAAAGCTAAAAATAGATGGGGCCATGCCCTGTTGATTTGCAAAGTGTCCACACCCCTTTTGAGGTGGTAGTTTTTCACAAGAATAAAGTCATGTATCCACCAACTAATGTTGGGAGGAAAAAAAAAATTATATATGTTCTACTGCAACAGCTCAAGCACTAGTCAAGGTTATAGTCTGTCCTATCCTCATTTCACGGTTTCTGCACAGCCTAGCCTGCATGTGAATGGGGAGAAAAATATAAGGGAATATGAAAAAAAAACTAAGACTGATTATCTTATTCATTAAAGTACAGATTATAGATTCAATCTCATACTAAAAAGCCATATTTTCAAATGAGTATACTATACATACACATTTATCTATTTAAAACCCAAACTATAGCTAAATAGAACAGACCTAGCCTTTTATTAAATACCTTAATTTCTCTACAGGTGTACAAAGGTTGGTGATTGTTAAGTCAATGTTTTCACATAACGTTTTTTTTCAGTCATTTAACGTATAAAAATAAACCCATTTGGTAAAGACGCATAGATTACACCTAGCTGAATAAGATTTAAAAAAAATTAAAAAGATTAAAAACTGATGGGAAAGAAACAAAGAAACTGCCAAACTTACCCTACGTGTAAATGTTTTACCACACTTAGAACATACAAATGCAGCAGGAACAAAGCTGGGGTCATGGTATCTTTTGAAGTGCATGTCCAGGAGCTGTTTCTGGCGGAATGTTTTATCACAATGACTGCAAGCATAAGGTTTCTCTCCAGTGTGGGTTCTTTTATGCATGATCATGTGACGCTCCTGCCGTATTTAACCACATGTAATATGCAAAAAAAAAAAAAAAATGTAAACAAACATGTAGGGGAGGGGGGGGGGAAAGCACATTACAGTCACCAAAATTATGGACTTGGCTGTTAAATTGCCAGGGCGAAAAAACCCTAAAAAACCCCCGACATATGCAGTACATCCTTGCAATACATGCACATTTGCCCCATGTTTCAGATAAATACCATTTGATCTGCAAGAAATGCATATAGCTGTTAAGTCCTGTTGTGGGCTGACAACATAGCATTTTTGTAGATTGCATCTGTTCAGTTTTCTTTAGCTACACTACTGTAACCCTCCCAATCGGCTCACCTCTAGAACATAGGACACTAATTATTTCATAGTCCTAGAAGGGCTAATTAAGACTTACATAGGAAGTGTGCACCAGACATCCAAAAATGTCTCACATGATCGATAGGTATAACCAAATGTTTTCAACAGTATATTTAACAAACCAAAAAGGTAGCAAATATAATGTTTGAGTTTACAAATGCTGCCTCTTTCATTTGCAAAGATGTGATGTACAGTTGTCCCTAACCATGGTTGTGAAAGGAGATTTTTGAAACCATAATCTAGTTTAGAAGTAGAATTGTAGATTTTATGGAAAATGAAGATGGAGAAGAATCTGCAATTTCCTTTTCATCAATCCTACAGCGAGTAAAGCTGAAGTCCGTTCTGAGTCTGCCAGGTTCATAAATCGGAGGCCCTAAAGCAAGTACCCCACCTCTTACTGCAGCATACAGATTACCAATTAATTCAGGTCATCTCTTTGGCGTTCAGCATCTTAGTTCTGTACCATTTTCATTTTACATATTTTTAATTATTACATGGTTGCCGGACCCGGATAAATCCCCTGTTAAGTAAACCTGACCAGGTTAAACTATTTTCTAAAGTAAAGTGACAGGATTCATGTTAGTGTTAATAAAGCATTAAGATTCATGTACCTGCCAATAAGTTGTCATAATACACTGTCATATTACAATGTCTATACTGTCCACTGAAGTTTTCACAACTGAATTACAGGTGGTTTAGCACCAAAAAAAGTTACGGCCAGATTGGGCAGAGGTCTACCCCCAGTGTAGCCTAGGACTGGGATCCAAATGGCTCAACAGGCAGAGGCATTTAGAACCAACACAGGCCATCACAATATTCCTTCACTTCATTAATATTAGGCCAGGTAAGATTTACCAATACATTTAATAACTTTGAATACGGCTTTCTCCTTGCCCTCCTATACCCCCATCCAATTAACTAGCAACCATGAAGACTATGCTGGCTTCAGAGATTAATCTTCTTGAGATGTGGGTGCTAGCGACCCCAATGGAGAAGCAGCCCATTTGCAAGCCTGCAAGTAGACTGCTGCTATATTGTGGTGCCTATAAAGGAAAGCTGTAAAAGGGCAGTATGACAAAGTTCACTGGCTGAAGATGAATGCAGACCACCAGAGCCAGCTGATCTGAGGTCTGTATTAAGGTGGCAATACACATTACAATTATCTGCAGATTGTCTGTGGTCAGATGGAAAAAGTGCAACAGATTGGCCCAGGTGGAGATTACTCCATCCACACAGTTAAGTGTAGATGGAGGAATCTGTTGCACCTTTTCCACCTGACCATGGAAAATCTGCAGATAATTGTAAGGTGTATGGCCAGCTTTAGGGGAATAGGAAGGATGGGGAGGGCAAAGGGGAGGTGTTGCCAAAAGTGGTTTTAAAAAAGATACAAAATTACTGAACTTTTTAAAAGGGAATGCATTGAGCATTTCTACATTATTAAAGGGTTTATCCTACACTAATTTTTTGATGTATCCTACACTTTTAATATACATTTTTTTGCAAAACATTTATAGGTTTACACAGGAGACCTTTAGGATTGTTAAGCCATACTAACCCACCAGGAAGATTGACACCAAGCAAAAGTGCAGGACAGGCTTCTCCCTTTAAGTATTATACCACAGAAAGAGCAAGAAAATTTATAAAAACAAACCCTTCACATAAGGCCAGGATAGCTTAAAAGAGAACTATAGGGTAATTATTTTTCCCCATAGCTCTCTTAACCTCCCTGGTGGTATGATTTTTTTTTTTTTGGTTTCTTTTTTCAGTCTATTTTTTTTAAATACCCTGCCGGTTCCGCCCCCCTGCGATGCGTACGCTCGCAAGGGACGGAACCCGGAAGATGGCGCCGGCCGGAGAACACAGCCCGGATCGAGGGACAAGGTAAGTAATGTTATGCGGCATTCCCGAGCGTAGCTCGGGGCTACCGCTTATGGTATGGAAAAGTAACCCCGAGCTACACACTGACAGTCACGGCTCTATGCAGGGAGATTATCGAGAAGTGGGCAAGCGACAGTATGCGTTTGCTCATTTCCCGATCTATTGAGCCGAAGTGTGACAGTTCATTGTCATACGTCGGCTCGAACTATGAGGATGAATGATTTTCACTTACCTCATAGTCCTCTAAGTGATTCTACATGTGGAACTACATAAGCAACACCATTTACAAAGGCTACTAGCTAATTTGAAGCATGTGGCCTTTGAAATAAAATGGTAAGAGCCAAGATTAGTCTTTAACTACTGAATTCTTGCCTAGAAAATCCCCCCAAACAATTATGTACAGTTGGTTTTTAGTATCCGGACATAAAAATCATCTGGTCCTTAGCGGTCTTAAAATTAGAGGAATACAACCTCAGATGACCACCACACGAACTCCAAAATACACTGCGCTCGAGTGAAAAACGCAATAAAGTGAAGAAAAATCAATGTAATTTGATCTAAATTGTTCTCTCTTTAACAATTAGTATACCCCCTCTTCATGTTTGTATTTTGCATTTTTTACTCGAGCGCAGTGTATTTTGGAGTTCATTTACTTAATTTGTATGTATCCCATGCGAAATGAACACAGCAGCTGGGTGTAGGTTTATCACCATAGCGCAGGTCCGCTTGATAATACATGACCACCACTACACGACATTACACGGTGTCATTATTAATTTTGCAGACATCAAGACAAAATGAAGAAGCCATGTGTGAGTGTTCTTAGGCACTTTTGCTAAAGCAACATAGCTGTATATATACAGTATGAGATCTAGGACACTGCTGCCTCAGGAAATCTGGTGATGTCACTACTGTGCTGCTCGTTGTTCTGCTTGATGGATGATCTGGCATGAGGCTTTAAAACCTTTCCTCTGCCAAGCTGGCCGCCTCCACACAGACGCAGTGTGTAACAGGCGAAGTAAACTTTGGCCCTCCAGCTTCAGGGTTTGCCTACCCCTGGCTTATAACAAAGCATGGTAAGTAATGAGGGAAAGATCAGCTTCAGGGAGCACAGGCAATACTGATGACTAGTACATTTTTTTGTGTACAGCATCCACAGTTTAGCTCTTCTTCAAAAGAGTTTACAAATACCAAATTCAAGTACTGTTTGTGAAAAAGGGGAACTGGGTTGTGATTTTGGAATATGTCCCTAAAAAGGCAGCATATGTAGAAAATCACAAGACACTTATTCTTCAAGGACTGCAAAAAAAAAACAAAAAAAAAAAACAATCCACTGTATCACAAAATCAGCTGTAGAATATAATTTTCCCTTTTTGTCTCCTAAACCAGGAAACCTACACGAGACAAAGGATTAACTCTACAAACAACAGTCTATGGAAATGTGAGAGATTTGTCTTCCATAGGCAAAGTAAAAAAACAACAAAAAGACAACTGTTTCAGTCCAAATATCATGTGAACAAACATGAAATAAGCGTAATAACCATTTAAGGTGCATTGAAGGGTATCAAAAATTTGGTATCTTCCAATGACAAAACTAATGTCCTAGAAATTTTACTTTAAAATAATTCAACAAGAAAAGTAGGTCACCTGTCTGCAAGCATATTCACACTGGTCACATTTAAATCGCTTTTCATTTTTGTGAGACTTCTGATGCTGAATCAGGGCATATCGCTCATGAAAGACTGTATCACAGTACCGGCACTTCTTGCCTTGCTCAATAAAAGAATGCTGCTTTCTTAAGTGAACCCCTTGATGAAGAGACAAACAAATTATTAAAATTCTGGATTATAACATGCCATTTAAATCAATAAATTAAAACAAACAAAAACAATTGACTTCACTTAAGCCCTTTTGATGCCAGGTCCTGCTCTCCACTTTTGACCACAGCTGGCTAGACTATTTCTGCAGTTTTTTCCCCTTAAATTTTTTTACTTGCTGCATTTATTTGGAGTTAGTAAAAGACCCCCTTAACCATGAAAGCACAGGACCTCTAGAATAAAAAATAGGTTCCACTGATTTTGTAGCTCCTATATATAGATAGAGACCCCTCTTGGCCTTTCCACTGCGTGCCAGAATGCAATTGCCCGCAGAGATTATGGATGACAAATATTCTCTTATTGCTCCTTAACAGGCACCTTTATCTGATTTCTTTTAACAGCCTCCCAATACTATTGGGACTATATGTATTTTATGTTAAAACATTTAGGCAGATGAACTCACACACTTTTGTTATACCTCAAGCCCCCACCCCCCGGTGTACCGCTGGTTACTATTCTACTTATACACCCCCGGGGCACCACCCCCACACAGATCCAGTTACCAGAGATAATACTAACCCTCTTACACGTTGCCCCCTCCTGCCCTCGTTTTCCTTTCCATAGTCTCTACCTTATCACCCGTCTCTTGTGCTACTTTCCTCCCTCTATCTTTCACTTTTCCTCACTATATTCTACCTTCCCTTTTTATTCTAGGCATCATAGGTCCCAATGTAGTTTTTTTTAATGGGGGAGGGGTTATGTACCAGAGTACGTTTTTAGACATTTTTTGTTGCCAATTACATTGTTTATTTGGGAATAGGTATAATTCGTCTTCGATAAATATTGCAGTTAGTATACTGTATTGATGAACTAGAGCACTATATACAATTTAGTGTTGTAGTGCTAAAACAGCAAATGGCAAAAGCCCCTTTTGTAAGACTCCCTTATAACCAGATTTATGGAGGCATTCGACTCCAATCTCCACAGACCCATGCCCACCCACCTTCTGGAAACCCACATTATAGTTGTCCCCACAAAGGACAAGGGCTCATCCCCATGTAGCAACAATCTACCCATATGGTTATTCAATGTAGACATAAAATGGTGAAAATCTTGGCTAATTGGCTTCTGCCACCCCTTCCCTCTTTAGACCCAGTTGGCTTGGTCCCTAGTCGCGAACATGATTAACCCCCACTGCATGACTACTTCTGGCATACCCAGTCTGTATTCCCATGGATGCTGAAAAGGTGTTCAATTATGTGGCCTACTTCTATGCTGCCTTACACCCTATTGGCCTCCAGGTCAGATTGATGTTCCCCACATCAAAACTCTGTATGCCAACCCAAAAGCAAAGGGTATGCATTAATGACCACCTATTAAACCCCTCTGAGATACATAATGGAACCGGGCAGGGGTGTCCCTTATTCTCCATAATCTTCATCATTACTCTGGAACCATTCTCATGCATAAGGGTGATCATACATGGCATACTAACGCCGAGGAATTTAAGATATCCACTTCACTGAATACCCGATATTTGCTCTCACCTAACCGCTCTCTATACCAAACCTACTGAAAGCATTCTATGAGTTCCATCGCATCTCCAACTGTATACTAGTCACTATCCAATTGAAGAACTGGGATAAATGCCACTTTGTGGTTCAGCAGGGTGGCCATTGTGAAAATGAATGCCTTACATCGACTTCTGTACCTGTTCCAAACCATTCCCATTGTCCTTCCCAGTCAGTTCATCACCTCAATCCATTTGCAGTTTTAAAACTTTCTTTAGAATAATAAAGCCCACAAGGTTAAGCCACAGAACTCTTACTTCCCTGAAGCATAAGGGGCGGCATCGACTCCCCAGGATTTGCTTAAGTACTATTGGGCTTGCCACTCGACCAGGAAAGTCCAGGATACCCTTAAGGACTGGGTCCTACTGGAACACGTTCTTGCCTAGCCCCCTACGCTCCAGCCCATGGAACGAGAAAATGCACCTTTCTACGGCCCTCTGCAACCAGTTGCAGCCGCCGCTCTGCTCCTCAGCCCTTCCCTGCTGCTGCCTTCAGCAGTCTGTGTCCTTTTCAATCCCCACTGCTCTCCCCGCCTGTGTCAGCAGGACACAGACTACTGCAGCCAGAACCAGCGGGGAGGAGAGACCGCTGTGACTCTGCAATCCCCCGCTGCCCCCCCTATTTGAGCAGCCGCTCGGGGTTTCCTCTTGCCCGGTCCGTTTTTCCTCTGCCCGGCGCTGTTCCGCCTCAGCCCCGCCCTGTGTCACTTTAGCCCCACCCCAGTTGCAACTAGAGGCTGGGAGCCATACCCAGCCTGCTATTGGATTTTTTAGAATGCAATACCAGGCTGGCTATTGCACCCGCCCACTGCCTGCTGTCAATCAGCAGATGAGAACCTGGAGAACTTTCTCCTGTGTGTCCCTCCTCTGCTGATTGACAGCAGGCGGGTACAATAGCGTACATCTTGTCTACTGGACTAATACAGCTTACCCATTTACATTTTGTAGATAGAATAATTAGATAGATACTGGGAAAAGTCATTTTCAGTTTCGGCCTGACAAATGTTGCTGCAGGAGGTGCGTTGCGGTGCCATTCCTTCAATGGATACCAAATGCATCTCCCGTCTGCAGTGTGATCGCCCGCACTGGAATGTGCGGTACTGCAATGCCCTGCGTTCCAGTGCAGTGCGATTGCAAACAATGTGCATACTATTTTATTCTGAAGTAAACTGTCTGTAAAGCTGCATTTGTGTATTTTATTTTAAATAAATGACAGTATTTTTTTAATCCTATTCGATTAATCGAAGTTAATAATCAACTAACTAAGATTATTAAAATAATCATTAGCTGCAGCCCTAACAAACTATCTTCCACTCAAGACCGCTTAACCTTCCATAAAATATCAGATATTCCTTATACATTCTCAAGGCGCCACCAAGAAAAGGACACTCATTCACATTTGGTGGACATGCCCTAAAATGTGCCCATTCTTGTCTCAAGTGAGCTGGCTCATCGAGCAGATCTTGGGTCATTCTCTACCCTTCCATCCGGCTCCATTGCACTTAACCCTTTCGCTGCCAAGGACGTACGGCGTACGGAGCTACAAAAGTGCTTCCAGCTGGCCAGCTCAGTATGCCATACGGACCTGGCATTTACAGTTCTACTATAAGCTGATGTTCTACTAGCAGTTCTACTATAAGCTGATTAAATTAATAGCTGTCATATATAAATAGCTGTGACCGCTAGTCTGCCGGAGTCTGCCATCCCAGGGAGGGATGAGACACTCCATAGATCCCCGCTGCTTGTAGGGTCTGTGGCAGCGGCGACCCCTGATATGTAAAACAAAATAAAATTTTAAAAGAATAAAAAGTGTAAAAAAAAACTAATAAAAAAAGCACAACCCCTCCCTCCCCCCACATAACACACACATATTGTGGCGCACACCATGCACATGCGCTGCAGTGCGTTAGAACACATCGCAGTGCATGATCTTTATTTATTTATTTTCTTTTAAAAAAAACATTAAATTAACTGTGGCAGCGCATGGCAAAGCTTTGTGACGCATTGCCATGCGTTGTGATACCTTGTGTTGCAATTAAATATACACCTGTATCATGTTATCACAACACAAACACCAAAACAATTTTTTTACATAAAGTCGATTTACAGTTTTGCATACCTTCATTTTTTTACCTTAAAATTGCAGAAAATTGCTTGGCAGCGAAAGGGTTAAACCACTCAAAAGATCCAATTTGTAGCCTACAAGCATTTATCTGCCCCTCCACCTGCTTAATGCAGCAAAATGACCATCACACCCCACTGTTTGCGATGGGTTTTGGCACATTAATTTTGTAGCAGAAATGGAAGAATTAATCCACATTAACAATATGACTCCGTACACCAACATGTGGTCTCCATGGGTGTTTAAAACCACTGATGCATGCTAGACTGTATGCCCTGGGACCAGCTAGGATCCCTTTAATGACCTTCCAGCCAGCTCTAACTTGCAGAGCTCTAAAATATCAGCTGTGGCTGCTCACTATGCCTGTGCCAGCAAGCACCACCTTGGCCAACGGGAGTACCTTACTGACTCAGATGAGTGCTGGTTGTCAGCTGCTGTTTACCTTAGGCGGGAAATTCCCCCCCACCCCTCGGCAGCTCCAGCCTCCCCTACCTTTTTGAACTCATGCTCGTTAGAGCCCATGGGCTTGATGTACTGCTTGGTTAGTGTTGTAAGGTAAGCCCGGTACACAAACTGTTACAATGCTTTTTTGTATGGTCTATCAGTTTGTAATAAAACTGTACGGCTACCCCTTCATTGTGCCACATATTCACCTCCCCCTTTGTTAACTTTCTGTTGAAAATGTTCAATAAAAACACTCTGAAACAAAACATTTTCGATTAAAAAAAATATCACTAAAATAACTGACACACAAAAGGCAACATAACTTCAAAAATCTTACTAAATCAAGTGTTAAAACTGTATTTGTAAATTTTAAAATTGTGTCTTTTTGCAAAACCGAAAATCCAATAAACTCAAAGTGCTTTAGTGAAATAAATATCACTTTTGAAATAAATATCAAGGACATAAGAGTCTACAAACTCCTTCTCTACAGCCACAGCATTTCATACATGGAACAGAAGTACTGAGTACACCATGCCTCCTGTTCATTCACAAATCCACTGACAGTAAACACACCAAATTTTATGTTGGCCTTCTCTTGATTTATAAATGAACACTGTAGTGATCAATACTGAAAACCCTGGTGTTCATTAAAGGCAGGCAAAAGATCAGTAAATATGAGACATCCACTACTCTTTTCGCTTGCCATCCTAAATGATCTGATCCTCTCTACAGGGTGTCAGTTCTTTCTCCCCTGCAAAGCCCGCCGTCTCTGCTGCTATAAGCACAGAATGGAAAAGTGTGCCAATGCCCAGCAGGGAAGATGTGTTGGACAGAGCAGAGGGGAAGGATGTCATA